ACAGATACCTTAGAAAATTTTTGGGTGGTTGCATTCCACGATTTTCAAACAAGCTTTTTCCCACCGGGTATTTGGAAAACTGTATTTTTCATCCCCGTATTCGAGGCTCGCACTCGTTCCTCCTTTTTCATCGAGATATTTAAAAAAAGCATGTCTATTTTTCATTCGAAATTTGAGGCTTGTATTCACCCTTTCAAACGTGATTGTTGTCGATAAAAAAGACTAGGCGTGGAATATTTTTCCCCGGGAACAATACGCTGCAGAAATTTCGTGAAAATTGGTCTACGAGGGTTCGATAACCCCTCTCTCCCTCGCTCTCTCATTGGTTTAAATTGTTTCACCAGAGCTGAAACTGAATTCGTTCAGTCAGAAATCACGCTGTTCCGATCACCATCGGTGTCGAACAGCCGCGAGATCTTCGGTATTAAATTCTTCGATATTAACAATTGAATTTTTCAACAGGCTGTAAATCTAATTTTTCCCTCGTTTATTCCACCCTGCTAATTCGATTCCAACCCGGTATCCTCTCCCTCGATTATTCTCCCATTCGTTCTCCCTCACCCCTCCCGTCCTGTGCTCGTTTCGTCCCCGTTCACGTCACCGTTCCTAGCGACACTATTTCATTAAGCCCTGAACGACCTCTCTTAATTACTTATCGATCGACCAATAGGATCAGTCACGACGATTACAGGCGTGCCGCGGCGTCGTTCAGGGATCTACCCCGCTGCGACTTTGTTATTTCTGTTGCGCTTTAATCCTCCACGCTCCGGCTAATTAAGGAAGATTTTTCAACGTGAGAAAAGCCAGTCTCGAGAAATACAAAACTCCTTCCAGCGGCCAACAGGGCGCCCACTCCTGCTCGGAATCGTTTACCTCGCGACTTTCGCAGTCGTTTTACCTCCGACACGGATTTAACCCTTTCGGGTCGTCGTGCCATTAGCGCACACCGTACGCATTAAGAGAGTCTCGCGTTTTTTAAAATTTTAGGGAATTTCGTTGGAACAGCAGAGGACTTAAGGGTGTATCGGATAAAGGGAATGTTGTCGAGGCCTCGTTCTGTATTTAAAAATAAATTTTCACTTGGAGTTGTTGAGGCGCTAGCCAGTGTGAAGCATTTAGTGGATGCCGGATATAACCGGCGCTGGTCGAGAAAGGGTTAAGAAACTTTCCTTGCCTCGGTGCAGAGGAGAAAAAAGAATTATCGCCTTTAGAATCTTCGCGATTTAGGAGGAACGAAAGACTTCAACTTATCGCATTGCTCTCGATTTTCTCGGGAATCAGGATTAAAGGATCTCTCTACACTCTGAGAAAGAAACTTTGGATCGTCGTTTGTGACATTTTACCGGCATTGGAAAATTAAATTATGCGTGAAAAGGAACGATCCATGGTTCGACCGGACGAACACAATATTTTCGCAAATCGAGGAAAATAACGGGGCGCAATTTAACACTTGCACGATTGACTTTCAACTCCGGACGTTTTTCAAGGCTGGAAAATTCTATTTTCCACGAGAACCAACCGGGAACAGCCGTAAACAGCCGGCTTCCAGGCTTCCCATTGTTCGCCGAGCTGATATTCCTCCCCTTCGCGTGCTCTCGCCTCTGTCTCGCCGACGATATCTCCCGCGGCGTTTCGAGAACGACGCCATTAGCAGAGGCCCGCGTCTTCCTGTGCTTTTCACCCGGGGTTTCTCCGTTAGGGCGCAGGCCTTCTGTTTCGCGACGCCTTTTGTATCGGTGGCTCGAGAGACCCTTCTGCCTCCAGGGGGAACTCCCCTCGCGTAATAAATGTCCGCCTGTCCCGCTGGCCCATCTCTTATTGCGTCGGCCGCGGAAAAACGGGCGCAAGACGAAGCGTAGCGGCGTTCAGGGAGGAATGTCAATAAGGGAAACGGCCGGTAGACAAACGAGAACGTCGAAGTTCGTGAAAAATAGACGGAGCGGGTGGGATGGATGCACGACGGCGGTATAATTCGCGAATGAGGCGACGCTGGATCCTTTGGAACGACTGCGGAACACGTTTCTGAAGAAACAACACCGGGATGTTTGTCTTCGGCCCTCTATTAGAGACCCTGTTTAAATTTAAATAAGAAACTCTACCAACTTTTCTAACATTCCACTCGGGCAGGAATAAATTTCGCCGAGTGCTTCTTGGCTTTACCCCTTTTGTCCGCGCGAGCCTGCGTGCGATGATTCGAGGCACTGTCGAAGAATTCTTTTGGTTTCTATCGTTAGATACAGAAAATTTCTAGGTATAGTCGGGGCCACGATATAGCGAGGTCGTAAAATCGGTCAGACGTCAAAGTAAACATGTTTTAGCTGCCGGGACCCGAAAATTGACAGAGATACGAGCAGATAAGTACTTGAAACCATATTGTCAGGACCGTACGAAGAATTCTTGTATCCAGCGAAAGTCAACTGATTCTAATATATTTACTGAAAACTGCATGCAGCTAGGACAAATTAGGGTTTCTCCCTCTGGGGGAAGCCGCTTTTGGAAGTACGGTTACAGGTAAAGGTCTTATTGATGTCTTTAGCATCTTAGTTTATCTACTCGTGTTATATACAGATAGAAAGTGCAAAAAGATTGTGTAGCTTAATATTAACATATTTTCCATTTGTAAATGAAATACCATTTTCTACTTGAAGTACCAAATTCGTTTATTGTTGGAACCCTCAAACAGACTGCAACACACGGCCTTGAGTGCCGCAACATCAATCGATGCCGATTCTTGAGAGTTTAATTTACGACCTCGCTATATCGTGGCCCCAACTATACTGTGAAAATTTTTGATAAATATTTGGAAAATGTAGCGAGTAGATATTTTTTAATAAAGTAACCTTCTATCTTAAGTCGGAAGCAAAAGCGTTGAATCTACCTGCGCAACGTTCAAAAGTGCAAAAGTTAATTTCGTTGAGATGAATATGCAGTACTGTAATTTCATTTAATTACTGCTACAGTTACATTTTGCAATCTATATTTTTTCAAATTTTTCACAAACTGCAATGGAAGCCGTAGAAAATGTTGCCGTAACGTGAAGCACCGTGTGTATAAATTTATCGATCGACGTCCTCAAAGGGTTAATAGTAACTCCTGGAGATTGAAACTCGTCTAAGCCTCGAGTGGCGCTGAACCGTCCGGACTGTGACTAATTATAAGAATTAGCGTCGTCGAAGGAGAGTAGGCGGGAAACGGAACGACGATACGTTTAATCTGTAAGCAAAGCGAGACACGTCTGGATCACCGGAGGAGGCGTGTCGAGCGTAGAAAGAAGGAAGCGACGAGACAAAGGGGGTGGGAAAGGGACGGTCGTGGGACACGGAGAAGAAGCGAAGGAATAAAAAACGAGACGTTCTACTCGAAATTGCGTCACTGACGAGGCTCGTGGCTAAGAATCAACGACATTTGCAAAGAAGAAACAAGGTAGCGTGACTGAATTAAACTCCATTTAGCTCTGTTTATTGTAACTTGCAGAAAAAGAAGAGAAACTAATAAGATATTAACTTGTGAACGTGTTTCCTACATAGTGACTATCAATGCTACGACACTTAAATTTCAGCGTCTAACAAATGAAAATTGACAAGTCTGGAGAGCAGTTTACGAACGAATTAGATTAAGATCAAGTGGATAAGATCTGCATGGGCACGCGCGAAGTATTAACGGCGAGGAAGAAGTGAATCGACGAGTTAAGAACTAGCCGGCAAGAAGAATAAAGAAGTTCGAGTTAGGGGGAGAACGGAAGAGGAGAGAGAGAGGCTGGAAAAGGTCGAAACGAAATGGCACGCGACGCGGCTTGGACTGAAGCGGCTAAACGAAGCGGCTCCTTCGGCCTGACGTCTCGACGAGTTCCGCTTTAAAGATAACGAAGCGAGTTCTTCGCGGAATAAAGGTAGGTAACCGCTGCGGCACCTGTCGAGTGTTTGTCGAGACTGTCTCTGGGCTAGGGCGACGGGAGCGACAGGTGGCTTCGTTCTCTCCTTTCTCCACTTTTCTCCCTTTCCATCTGTCTCTCCTATACTCTCACTGTCTCCGCGGCGGCTCTCTGTGTCTACCTTTCTCGCGGTATTACCCTCATCCGTCTTTTCCTCCCG